GGGTTATGTTACCCAAACCATTTATGCCAAGAGATGGCAAAGGACCACTACAGAGAGAGCACTGGAAAGCAATGAGTAGATGTATTTCTGGCAGCTGGCATGAAATCCACCATGGGAACAAACATTGGTTCTGGTTCTTCTGGCTTCCTCAGTAAATATTGCKCTGAGCAGCAAATATTAGTTTGTATTTACTGAGAGTAATAGCGTTTTAGCKGTAATTATTTACCTGTGCTCAGCCTGGCTTTCTGTGTAAATACACAAGACGTACGGGCATTTACAAACACCCTCACATGGCAGACCAACCTTCTATACAAGGGATCCAACCCTCTTCTTGATTTTTATTTACCGAATTATTATTATGGCAAGGACCCTCAGGAACTGTTGAGCTGACTGTGTATTGAGGGAATGAGGGTTCATAAGRTTCATAAGAACTTGCCATTTTGTACCTGCTCTGACCATGGCTTCTGCCAGGGGCCAGCACAGCACCCTGATTATTCACATGATTATTAAGCTCTCTGAAATTGAATGCCCCCGACCATTGCCCAGAAACCATCTGAGCAGGCAGGGCTGGTCAAAGCTCACCTGTGCTCTGGCCACACCGTGTTTACTTCATGCAACACGAACCACAGGGCAGGAGGCAGAAAACAGCCACATCAGCTTTATATTAACAAAAGGCTCTCCAAGGCAAGAGAATCCCTAGGTAACCTGTCAGGCCAGCTTAATAGCTTCAATACTGCTCAGGCATGGACCAGGATCTTTCCTCCAAAATATTTCACTGTGTAAACACGTGTAAGAATGCTTTTGAAAAGAAATAGAGATTTGCTTCTTAAGGTTTAACACTGACTTAAGGTTCATATTTTCGTTTCCTAAGGTTCTGTAAGTTCTTCTTTTAAAACATTAATSTAACAAGGACTTTGTTTTAAACAAACTTTAAGATTGTGGAACTTCTTCCTCTGTATGCTGTTACTTAAACTTTTACARCCCAGTCCCTACGTGAGAAAAATCTTCCCCATAAAGGAAGTTCTCAGTTTGCAGGGGCGCGACTCGGGCTCACAAGCGCTGACCAAAAAAAAACAAAAAACSAAAAACCCACAACCCCACGCCTCGCATACTTCTCCGAGCTGCAGTMTGGTTGTACGAAGGAAACAAAATAAACGAGAAGGGAAAGGTTTGCAGCGCTCAGCCCCAGGTAATGCGGGGCCCGGCCCGGCCAGACCGTCCGGCGGCGCGGCCCTGGGGCAGCCACATCGCCCGGTGCGTCCTTCCTCCCCGGGACGCCCCTCAGTGTCGCGACCGCGCGTCCCTCCCCGGGGCCCCTTCAGCGCTGCGACCGCCCCGTGCCGTTCCCTCGGGGCTCCCCTGAGCTCCCCACAGCCTTGT